CGTCAGACAGGCCATGTGGCAGGTTCATGAGCTCCACCGCCCTCTGGCTAAGCCGCACCGGCAGCTCCCTGTGCAGAAACTGGGCGTTGGCCAGGCGATGAGCGGGCTCCGGGTTCTTCCCGTTAACGTAGAGCTGCTTCAGGCTCATGCAAGTCACCTGCCATCATCGTTATTGTTGTAATGTTGCTGCTGTTGACGTTGCACAAGGTTGTTGTCATTATCACGTTGTTGTCGATGTGCGCGAGTGCTCGGCCACCTACGACACGCCCGTCATCTTCGCTATTTTTCTTATCGCTGCCGTCGCATCGGCGAACAAACTGCCGCAAGAACGGCACTCGAAAATACAGACGTGTCATTTTCACTACCCTGTCACCGCAATCGTTGCAGCAGTACCGCCGTCATATATATTATGTCCGGATACATCTACTTCCGCACAATACGTTCAGCCGAGAGACAGACGTTGACAAAGACTCCAAGACGCGCACACGCGGCGGCAAACGCACCTCCTCCTTAGCTAGGTCTTGTATTGCCTTGTACATGATGTGCTCCTCGCTGTTGTCCAGCGCTCCCAAGCCCCTCACCGTATTCAATGGCTGCCCTTCCAACGCGTGTATCAAGGCTTGCGGGGCATACCTCTGGTTGTCGTTTTTTTTTGGGGGGGGGGGAAAGAGACACGCGTGACGAGTTGCTCATAGCTGATACTTATGATCGAGTTGGTGCCACTCAATGATAGACAGGTTCCGACAGAAAGAACGTTTCTTGTGACATGCCGGAATCCGAACAACTTGTAGTGTATTATAAGTTTCAAGTTTTAAGCACATACACGCGCTGTGAGAGCCATCACACGAACAGTGTATATTGGTAATACCCTTTCCTGATGCTAAGCAAGATGGGATACGAGAGGCAGCCCTGACTCCTGCGTATCGCAATGCACAGGTTTCTTACACTCCCTGTAGCCCGGCCAATCCCTCCACCGTGTGCATGTATTTCCAGCATACTGAACTGGTTGTAGACCACATGGCCAGATTGACAACACAACCCACAATAGAATGTTTCGGTCGTGCAGCCTGATTCATGGAGCAGGCATTGCTTTCAGACAAACAAGAGCAGCGTGGCGATAACGCTGCGGCTCCAAGGATTTGAGTTGTTTCATGCAGGAGTAGCCAGACCATGTTGTAACAAGGTCCCAACATACATTTGGAGGCATGCCTCGTTCCCCCAAAGCACTTTGGTCGGACCGCCTTACGCCACTTTCTACTGCTTGGCGGCTTAGTCACGGACTCGACAAGGTGACGGGGTGGTAGGGCGCCCACCCATGACGAAGTTGCCAACACATGGAAAGTTGCGGAAGGCAGTCCGGACAAAGCGCTTTGGGGGAACGAGGGATGCCTCCAAATGTTGGGATCTTATTACGGCAAGGTCTGGCTACTCGCCACACACTCCCAAGAGAGGCGGAGAAAACGAGCACTCCAATTTCGGGCTATCGACGGTCGTAGGCAGGATGCAAGTGGCGGCCTATAAACACATTTGCCAATGTGTTCTGTGACGGGTCTCACTTTGAAACGTTATAAAGTGTGATGTCGAGCTGCAAGGTGGCGGCCTAAACCCAAAGCGACCTTCCTGGTTGGGGGGTACCCCTCCGCTGATTCAGACGACGTGGGACCAGGTGGCTTGCTCAGTACAAACGCGCAGGGTACGGTTCACCTCCCCCCATGCAAACACCCTACGAAGATTACTGCTGTGCAGCTGGCTGCTGAAGTTCTCTGGTAGGCGACACTAGTGGTAAGTCAGGTAGATGGCACGATGTGAAAGGGGCACCGTACATAGTAACTACAACAACCCCCATCCCAGACAAAAAAATGTCCGGCTAATTTATCCGCGATACTGCTGTCCGTATACCAATGAGCGCGCGTGCTGACAAGTTGGAATATTTGCGTACAGGGAGGACGTGGATACCATTCAGCACACGATGATGGAGGATTGTACATGAATCCTATGCAGGCTTGAGGATTGCCGCAGACCCTATTAGGCAGCACCATGCATACCCCAACAAAGCACACAGCAATACGCACACAGCAAAGCTCGAGCAATTATCTGCAGGAGCCAGGCAACAACACGCGCACAGCAACGCCCGATGCGCGGTTGAACACAGCAACCTATCTCTTTCATAGGCCGCTTGGTTTGGGGTGTGCGGAATTTTGCGGTTTGCGTCTGTCTCTCTCTCTCTCTCTCCGCGCTATTTGTAAAAAGTATAGACTATAACACATAACCTCGCAGAGACTAACCCGTTCGAGGCAATACCATAGCAGTCGCAAGGGATGTGCTTGTATCCATGGCCGGGGTAAGTTGCTTGCGGACGCACCATGCTGACCGATTCTAGCCACGCACCGGGTGAAAGCGGGAGACAAACCTAGACAACATGGGTTCAGCTCGCGAAGAACCTAGCGAATGTGACTTCAGCTCGCTTCAAGAACATGCTGTTGGGCGCGTGTCCTACCCTATTACACCTATTATATTAGGTGTGACGGAAAGTTCAGTTTCACACGCGTGACGACCGATTCTAGGCACGCGCAGGGTGAAAGCGAGAGACAAAGCTAGACTACATGAGTTCAGCTCGCGAAAAATATGCTGCTGGGCATGCAGGTCTTACGTAGGTGCCGGAAAGTTCCACACGTGGGACGTAAGGTAGCACACCAATCGCCCGCGTGCGTATGCATCTCTCCGCTTGGTTTGGGGTGTTCGGAATTTGGTCCCGACAATAATTATTGGCATATACACAATGTCTACCCGTTCGAGACAAAACCACCGCAGTCGAAACGGATGTGCTGAAGTCTTGGCAGTGTGCGGAAGGGAAACCGGCTGGAAACGGTGGCTCATTTTAATCTTCGGGTATTTGCAATGGCGCAATGGCACCCATCTCTGTCCCCGGCCCTCGTCGCTCCAATCAAGGCAACACCGCCGTTTTCAGAACAACACCCGGTGCACTTTTTTTTCGCCCCCACGGAGACAATGTACGCCCTCGTCGAGCATGAGAGGTAGGCCGGGAGTGGCTACCTCATTGTCTCGATATTGGAATGGCTAAGAGATAATAGGGGCTGCTGCTGCTGCTGCTGCTGCTGCTGCTGTGGTTGTTTGTGCCGGCGAAGCAACGAATAACGGCGAGGTGGGAAGTTTGAAGCGGTTGAAGGCTTCGTCCCGCGATACGAAAACCAAAAAAACACCCTGTGCGAAACCCGAAGACACCGAAGTCATTTTGCTCGACATCGACCAGCTCGATGCTATTTCTACTATGTAGGGCAAGGTGTTCCCGCTGCGATTGCTCCTCGTGGAATGTAGCCACGCCCAACGCCTAACGAACTTTGTGCGGAACGAAACTGCTGCTGAGAATTCTGTCTAGTATACACACAGACTTGTATTTGTATTGTAGTTGTAGTAATTGTAAGAACTTGCCTTGATCGGGCCCTCGTAGCCCTTCGCGAGCTTCACCACAGCGTCTCGAACCACCTTCCCCGTACGCAGCTGATTCGTACTCATACTTTCTCCTCCTCTGCTTGGTTTCCGGGGCGAGCTAAATATGTATTCCTCTCTCTTTTTCTCTCTCAGCCACAGCAGTCAAGCGGGTGTCGGTCAAGTGGGTTTGAGGGCACAAGAAAATGCGAAAGAAACCGCTCGGGGGTGACATCATAAGGATGCATCATAAGTGTGTAGGTATATCGGAAAACAAGAGAATCATTTCACGGAGCCGCTTCGTCGGTTTGAAATCAAATCTGAATATATCATCTGGCATATCTCGCAGCACACGCGTCTCCTGCTCTTCTTAGGTAGCCGCGCTCTCTCTCTCTTTCCTCTCTCCCATTGCCTCTCAAGCGTGTACTCGTGCTGCACGCGTGACGCATTCCAACGTGGGTGCACTGAAAGTTAGAGAAACAACTTCACAGGAAAAAGTTTCTGTTGCACTTCTTTCAAACAGACACAAAGACCGCGTGGATAGCGGTTAGCCCGCTGCTCCTGCGGGACAAGCTTGGCAGGGCGGACAACAACGGCAACGCAGAGTTGGCTACCTTCTAATCTTGGACAATAGATTCTGGAGATTGTGTGTGAAGGTTTGATGGGTGGTTCTAGCAACCGGCATTACTGCCGCTCCTCTACAGCCCATGCTGGGACAGGAGCAGCACCAGCCGACACCGGCAACGGCGGTCGTCGCAGCACAGCTTGTTAGGCAGGAACCTCAGCCGCAGCAACAACAGCCACCGCCGAACGCAGAAGGGGGTGCGGCGAGAGCAGTGTCACCCCTCGAGGGCAGGGGTGGTACTCCAGTCAAGGAGCAACGGAGCACCACAAGAGTTGCAAGTCCTCCAACAACGCCGGCACCGCTTGCGGACACCCCCGGCGGTACCGCCGCCGCCTCTCCACCGGCAACAGCCACCGACGTACGGCCACACCAAGAGCAAGGGCGCTCGACGGAACCAGAAAACGACAGCGGCCGCAGCAGCGGAAGCAGTTGCGGGGGGGAGCAACCCGAAGGAACAAGGCAGGTCGTGACGGCGGCAACACTAGCAGCTGGTGTGGTCGGGGATCGGGGCAGCCGGCGGCGGCGGCCGCTCGGCGATGTTGGTTCAGATGATGGCGCCGGCAGCAGCAGCAGCAGCGGCGGCGGCGGCGGCGATGACGACTCCGATGGCGAACGCAGCGGCAATGGCGATTCCGATGGCGCCGGCGATCTTGGTGCAGATGACGGCGCCGGCAGCAGCAGCAGCAGCAGCAGCGGCGGCGGCGGCGGCGGCGGCGACGACGGCGATTCCGATGGCGGAGGCAGCGGCGATAGCTATTCAAATGACGGCGCCGGCGGCAGCAGCAGCGGCAGAGGCGGTGGCGCCGGCGCCGGCGGTGGTGCCGGCGCCGGCGGTGTCGGCAGCGATTCCAATAGCAGCGGCGGCGCCGGCAGCGGCGGTAGGCACCCACCTCGTGGAAACAGAGATTTCGTTCTGACGAAAGCGAGGATGGCGGCGGTGAAGTGCTACCTGCGGGACGGCGACCCGCTATTCATCCGTTCGAACCTGTCGAAGCTGGAGGCCGGCACGCTGACGCGTCTCGCAGTCGGGGACACCGTCAGAGTGGCGAGACGGTGAGGCTGCGACTTGCGTGGGCACAGTACTGTAGAAAATGCCCGCTTCGATGCCGCAGCAGCAGGAGTGGCAGCGTTGAGGCATTCGGTGGGAAATACCGCACGTGCTCGGTGTCCCGTGGGCACCCGGAGCTTTGCACAAGTCGCATTTGCTCAACCAAGTACATAGCGTCCTGTACGGGAGATACGACGGTTTTCGCTCTACCCGTCGCCTCTTGGTATTGGGTGTATAGCCCCTGTGGAGAGGAAAACGTCCTCAGCAGACGCATGAAGGGCGGCGAAGCAGCAGCAGCGCCTTGCACACTCTGCGAAGTGAAGTTCTACGAAGGTTGTTGGAATGTTGGCGCGGCAGAAACGGCTGCGCTCGTGGCACACGCTACTCTTTCCCACCAGATGTGGGTTGCGGCGGGACGGCGCGTGTCTGCCGGGGTTTGGGTATGCTTTTTGAACCGCTCACGTAGTATCCCAGCGGGGTCCCCCCTCCTTCCTAGATTATGTTCCTTTCGACGATGTCTCACCCCCAAGGCTATCATGTTCCGTTTCGTGCGGGCAGGTGTCGCGGGGAGAACAAGGAGGGAGGGCAGGGCATCGTGCTGGCCGTGCTGCCGGAATATTTCTACGATGTCAAGTACGTCGGCGGGGTCGAGTACGGCGTCGACGCCTGCTTCGTGGAGAAGATCAAACTGGTGCGATTGTGGTGCTTGTCTGTCTCACGGCGCTAGTGGGACACACGACTCGACAAGACGACAAATTCCTGCAGATTGTTTTTCTCTATCCAGGCTAGCTTTGTTGTAGATTCAGCAGGTTCGTGCGTTTTTTAGTGGTACCACCTCTAGTGCCTGCACCGGCGGGTGGGACAAAACAGAGTTTCGGAAATCGCTTCCTTGTCTACGCTGTATTTCCTTCCTCTGAACGCTCGCACAATCACCCTCTAAGTTTTTTTTCGCCGGTGATGTCAACGCAACTACATGTACCGATATTTTCTCCGCGTATCTATCCCACATCCCCCGACCACCACCGCAACAGGGAAGCACGAAGCGCAGAGGCGGGACCTCCAGATGCGGTAGGTGCAACTCCTTCGAGTCCGAGTGCACTTGCCAGGCACCGTCCCGCGGGGGGCGGTCTGCCGCCGCCGCCGCGGCGGCAGAGGAAGCGGCGCTGGCGGCCGCAAAGAAGGCGTCCATGTCGTCCTTGCCGTCGTACCTTCGCGGCGGCGGCGGCTCACCGTCGGGATCTCCGCAATCGGAGACTGCGGTCCCGAGGGCGGGCTTTCGAAGGGAGCGGGAGCGAGCCCACCCTCTCAAGAGACCCCGACCCGCCGGAAGCAGCCAGGAGGCCAAGGAGAGGGAAGGAGCCAGACCAGACCCACCGAGAAAGCGGGCTGGTGGCGGGGTATCGGGGGTTCCGCCGCGTGTGTGGGGTGGGGGTGGCGTAGAACTGAAGAAGGCCGCCGTAGACGACAGCAGTAGTTCTCTTCAATCCGGGAAAGGGGGACAGGGTATGGATGTGGAGGACGATCGGTTACCAAGGCGCGAGGTTAGCCACGGAGATACCTTCGGTAGCGGGGCGGTGCAGGGCGGAGCAGGTGAGAGCGCCACCGCCGCCGCCGCCGCCGCCGCCGTGGCCGAAGGAAGAGAAGGAGACCAAACACCGCCCCAGCTTTCGAAACGGTGCGACAAAGACTCCGGCGGGGGTGATGACGATGATGAGGCAATCTGGACGGAGCATGCCCAAGGAAGTCATGGCGGAGAGATCCCCTCCCACGGACCTGACGCCGCTGCGAACGGCACGTTGCACCGCGGTGGTGTTGTCGACAGTGGCAATCACGACCCCGCGGACGGCGGCGGCGGCGGCGGTGGAGGCGGCGGCAGAAGTAGTAGAAATCGGCGAGACTCTGGAGAGGAGGAAGAGTTCCAGGCGTCATCTAGTCGAGACGTGTGGCGGCCTCAAAAGAAGGAGCTGGTCGAGGTGGCGCGACGCACCGCGCCGGGGATGAACAAGCTCGGAGGTACCGCGCGCGTGGTGAAGGTCGACCCGGCCACCGGTCTGGTGGACGTCCGGTACGTCGTGGAGGGGGGCTGGGAGCGCAACATCGACCCCGTGTACGTGCGCCCGGCCACCCTAGACATGAACGAGAAGCGAGCCACGTTTGGTAGGTGCGTCCATTGCGGCAGCCTGCGCGTGGACTGCCAGCAGGAGTGCGAGTACTTCACCTCGCGACCCCGGGCAACGCAGCAAGGCTTGTACCTCATGGAGAGAAGCGAGGAAGATGGGGGTCCGGGAGGGAGCTCCCTCGGAAAGGAGCGGCGGCGTGCTGAGCGCGACCAAAACCGTCGTCGCCGTCGTCGGCGTCACAATGGTCGTTCACAGGCGTCGCAAGAGGAGGGCGGGGATGTCGATGACCGAGAGAGGGGGCACGCGGATAGCCAAACGCGACGGCGGCACCTGCCCCAAGACTGGGACGAGGAAGGGGAGCCCGTTCCAGGTAGCAACGAGGAGGAGGAGGAGAGAGAAGGCGGAGGCGCCGACCAAGATAGTAGTAGCAGCGGTAGCGACAGCGACAGTGTGGGGGGGATTACCGCGCCGCAGCAACGAAGACGAATCGGTCTGCGACTGGCCCTCAGCAGCAGCGACAGCGACGAAGGGACAGCGGACGACGCCGGGGTTCCCAATCGTCGGAGGCTCGGGGATGGATCCGACGGAAGCGATGCCGGAAGCCAGTACGACGACGACGACGACGACGACAACTCCGATATCGACCTCCTGTATGTCCGGCCGGGTGTCCGCGGCCACGGCGGGACTCTTCGCCCTCGTGATCGTCGTAGCCAACGAAGCCGCGGACGCGACAGCAGTGTCGGAGGAGGCAGTGTTACCGACCAAGAGTCGGGGCTGGAACAGGGCGAGGAGGAGGGAGAGGGAGAGATGAGCGTCTCCTCTGAATCGGGCGGCAGCGGCGGTGGAGAGGAGGGGGGCGTCGGGGGGGCGTTCCTGCAGGCGGAGGGGGACGAGGACGAGCTCCCGCCGGACATTCGGGATCCCACGAGAGGGGTCAAGGACCCCGGCGTGCTCCAGGCGAGGCTGGAGGAGTTGCTGAAGCAGATGGAGACGGGCGACGTGACGAAGCTGGAGGAAGACGTTGCTGCGGCGTGCCGGTGAGACTCGCTCCGGGGCGGTAGGCAGTACATATAGCAAAATGGGGTGCGAATTTTTACGTTGTGGCTCTGGGTGTGTGCTCTTTGTTTCGGTGTTATTATCTCATTGTTCGGTGGCCGCTCGATACAGAAGAGCTAATTTTGTAACAGAATCCGGCAGAAGAACGTCTCCGCGCTTTGGTGTCGAGGCTGGACTGGATATGTTCGGCACGGAAAACGTCGTGCGTTTAGTTCTTGGTCGGCTACTGATACAACTCAACGCCTGCCTAGGGCCTTGCCTTCTCGGGGTAATGTTTTCTTGAATGGAAACAAATAAGGCGCGCCTTGGGCCCTGGTCGATACCTCACGGCTTCCCGCTCACCCGGTCCTCCTCCTTGGTCTATGCCGTGTGCCTCCCTCTCGCACGCAACACACGTCTGTCTGTGCTTGAGCCCCAACAACGACGCCTGTACCTCTTCTCTCGAAATACCACCGCTTAAACACGTCAGGTGCGTGGAGTCGGCGACCGCGCCCGGCGCCAGCAGCACAGCCACCTTAGTCTCCTCCCTCAGAGCCGACCTGCAGGACCTCTTGGACCGGCGTGACCAGGTGAGGCAGACGTCGGACGTCGCCGAGAACATCTACCGCCGCCTGAGGAGGCTCGCGAGGAGCTGGCACGACGGCAGCGGCGGGGAGGGCGTCTGGCTCCGGCTGGCGAGCCTCTCGCAGAGGCTGGAAGACTTGAGAAAGGCCGCCCTGACGGGCATCCGCGACTGCGAGAGCTCCGGCGCCGCTGCCGCCTCGAGCGACGGGAGCGGGGGCTCCGCGGATTCTGGTTCGTCTTCCTCGGGTGGATCCCGTTCGGATGACGAGTTCAGCCTCGGACCGAGCCGGCCCCGTCAGCAGCGGCAACCGGCCGCGAGGGGAAAAACAAAGAAGCCACGTCGAAGCAGTGCTGGCGATGCTCGTCCTTCTGATCGTGGCGGCGGCGGCGGCGGCGGCGGGGGGGGGGG